CAACTTGAAAATTCCACGCTCGTAGAAAGTCCGATCCTTTTCGGCCAAAAACTGAGTTAAGTGAGATTTTACAGCGTCATCGTCGTTAAAAGTTTTACCACGAAGGGAGTTGTCCAGGGATCGAAATAAGTGGAAATCCGATGGCGCGAGATCAGGGCTATATGGTGGGTGTAACATCGATTCCCAACCGATATCCATCAATTTTTGCCGAGTGGACAAAGACGTGTGCGGCCTAGCATTGTCCTGCTGGAAAATGACACCTTTACGATCGACCAATTCTGGTCGCTTTTCCTTGACCGCTGCATTCAATTTGTCCAGTTGCTAACATTCACGGATAATAAAAAATAACATAATAATAATAATAATAATTTGATAATATAACATTTACGGATATCATAAAAATGTGAGTGAGAGACATCTATAACTGAAACCGGCAATTACTTAGTTGCCAACCCAATAGAAATGATCTTGCCGATCTAGAAATGATTTTGCCGTGAAAGCATCGAGCCTTCTGTTTTCAAACGAGTTGATACGAGCACTTGACATGCTGATGCGCAGGGGACATCCAAGACAGCGAGGGCAACGTCCTGGAGCAGGAGATGCTCGGGAACGCGGAACGCGGGGAGAAACCGTCGGCGGAGATCTCTGTGGTCCGCGTGCCGGACAGATTGGTAGTGACCTCGGCCTCGCCCCGACCCGACGAACTTCCGATCAAGGGGTTGGTGGATCACCTGCCGGTGCCGACACCGTCTCGCGAGGCGTCGCTCACGCAGAAGCTGGAAATGGCGCTGGGCTCGGTGTGCCCTCTTCTGCGCGAGATCATGGTCGATTTCGCTCCGTTCTTGTCGAAAACGCTGGTCGGCTCCCACGGGCAGGAGTTGCTGATGGAAGGAAAAGGTGCGTGTCCCATGGCGGATCCCATCCGCGGCTCCGCTTTCCAACAACCTGAGATCATCCGGCGCAGTTGCCTCGCCGATCGGTTCAAAAGTACAGTAATGTCTCTCTAATTGACGCTCAGATTGTCCAGAGAAATGGACAATTCGGGAAGGGGAGATACGATTATTCGAGCCTTGCGGTTTGCTTTTATAGTTACGAATTGTCAACAACTATAAAAGGAGTCGCAAGGCTCGAATAATCGTGTCTCCTCTTCTCAATTGTCCACTTTTAGTGCGCAACCTGAGCGCGAAAATTATGGGAAAATTACTGTAATTATAGTAAATACTTTGACCAGTTGGCGCACCTCGTCGCTAAACACAGTGAATTCTCCCGGACTTTCCTTTAACCTGTAAACAAGAATGAAGGATTTTGGAAGAGGAGATACGATTATTCGAGCCTTGCAGCTCGTTTTCATAGTTGTTGACAGATTCCTAACTATAAAAATGAACCGAAAGGATCGAATAATCGTATCTCCACTTCCAAAATTGTCCATCTTTGTGCACAATCCGAGCGTCAGTTAGGGAGACATTACACTGTAATCGCCGGTCGTTCGACCCTTTGCACTCGAGCGACGCGAGTTCGAGAATCGCTATACCCGATTCTTGAAAATGAAACAGCGACAGTACCAGATTCGTTTGCGTATTCGTAAAACCGTTGAAGCTGCGATTACCGTGCTTGCCAACAGGCTAATTTTCATGCGCGTAGCTTGCGATGAATCGTGTAAAATGTAAAACACCGTAGACGAGAAAACATATTTTTCGGCTCTCTCGAATTAGCATAAGCCACGGCTGCAAAGGGTTTATAATCGCTTGTAGCGAATATTAAACAGGCACGCGATAATAGATAGAGAAATAAAACGAGTAAATGGGAGAAGCATGGGACGTTCGGACGGAAATTTAGATACGTCCGCGCGATAAATAAAATTCCGACGGAGAACACCGGGATGCGCGGAGTGGACGCGCCGTGATTTTCGTCACTTTTGCCGGCCCGTCTTCCCGGTCGGTGCCTGTCTTTTCCCCGCTCGTGGCTCGTCCCGGCCGAGGGTATTCAAATTAGTCAGTTTATAGTTTCGCTTAGGAAGATGGAACGCGTATTCCGGATAATCGGCTGGCATTGGTATTCCCGCGGCGCGGCCCGTCCGCGCCACTTCGCGGACATTTTATATTCGTGGAACGTCGCGGATGACGGTCGTGGCACGTATCGATGCGCTTTATTTTCAACGAGGCTCGAAGCGATCCATTCGGAGCGTTGTTTATAAATCACGCGGGTACGATCTCCCCCCCTCCCCCCCTCTCCTCCCGCCTGCTCCGCTCCCGCGTTCACTTGTTCGCCAACAGTGTCCCCGTATATTTTACAACTGATCCTAAACAACCGATCCTTTTTTCGTCCGTCTGGCGACCTTCGGCCGGCACCCGATACGCCCGAGCTCTCCTCTTAACGATTCCCTTTGGCTCTTGATTGCTAGGCCTGACCACCTTCAAGAACAGCAACTCGGTCGTCGAGCTGGTGATGCTACTTTGTTCCCAAGAATGGCAGAACTCCTTGCAGAAACACGCGGGCCTCGCGTTCATCGAGCTCATTAACGAGGGAAGGTAAGGAGGCTCATTATGATCATCGTTAGAACGACAGAGTTATAGGGCGTGCTGTTAAAACGCCGCGCGGCGCCGCGCCGCGTCGGTGAGATCCCGGCGAAAACATTCCCGTTCCTATCGTAAAAGTTTACGTTTATGTTGCGCGCAGGTTGCTGTCTCACGCGATGAAGGATCATATAGTCAGAGTGGCCAACGAGGCCGAATTCATCCTAAATCGGATGCGAGCGGACGACGTCCTGAAGCACGCCGACTTCGAGGTACGCGGATCATTTTCGAGTTCCAGGCCAATTTTAGTTTCCGGCGCGGTTAGTCGGCCGGCTGTTTCGGGTAATTATCGCGATAATTTTTCTCTTAGTCACAGTGCGCGCAAACGTTGCTCGACCGACGGGAAGAGGAGCGAATGTGCGACCATCTGATCACCGCCGCACGCAGACGGGACAACGTGATCGCCAGCAGGCTGCTGGAGAAGGTCCGGAATATCCTGTCGAACAAACATGGCGCTTGGGGATACATGGATCCAATGGCTGCAAAGTAAGGAAAACTGTCGTGCCAGATTCAATCTTTGATTGAATGATTCCTGCTGAAGTCGGAGTTGGGCAAATTTGATTTAAAATGATAAATAATAAATTACGAATGGAATTGATACTTCGTTTGCAAATGCTGATTAAATATCTTATTTAATTAAGAACAATCATTTAAATGATTGCACGAATTACCTATTTATTATTGTTTGCAAGTAAAACGTCATTTTTTAGTCGAATTTAGGTGAAAAGCAAATGATATATAAGTAATTGCTCCTTTTTTTCGTTTATTGGGAAATATTAATTTCCATTTATTATAATCGAAGGACTTGCGTCTTTCTTCGTGAATTCAATGATAATCGCTTAAAAAGATCGAAGACCATTATCTTCTGGCAACGACGTGTTATATATATATGCCGACTAAAAGAACATATAATAAGCAATTAAATGAGATTTAATAAGTAACAAATTAAATTATATTTATAAATAAGAAATACGTTTTATTATTTGAAATAATTTATTTAGATCTACATAAATAATAAGCAATTATTTTCGTCTTCCACTTAAATTTCCAAATAACGAATAATTTCTTATTTAAATGATAATTTCAATGAACATTTACTTAAAAGCTACCCAATTCTAGCTGAAGTTGTATTTCTTAGGCTTAACGTTTCAATGAAACTCGATGGTGGTCCTATTCACTCTTTGCATTATGATGTCTGCAAAACTCTTGATCCAGCTCATAGAACAGTCTGTAAAGTAATCAATTAAATACGTTAATCACCTTTGTAGTCGTTGTATCACAAATGTCTTTCAATCTATCATTACTTGAATCGATGAAGATATACAGTGATGTTTCTCTAATTGACGCTCAGTTTGTCCACAAAACAGAGTGTCCCTTTTGAGATTTTGAGAGATTTTTATCTCTCGCAATCCGGAAATGGCGGGTTCCTCGGATCATTTGAAGCAGCTTCTTCCTTTACAAAAATGTTCTCCGAGGCTTCGTTTACGAGTTATTAACAAAAAAAACCCTGACCAATAAGAGGCGAGCTCGGCTGGGGCGCGGCGGCCCAGCCAACGAGTGCACGAAGCCCAGTTCCGCTCATTGGCTCGGCCGCCTCGCGCCAGCTGAGCTGGAATTCGCGCCAGCTGATCCCGCCTCTCATTGGTCACTGTTTTTCGTTAATAACTCGTTAACGGTGCCTCGGAGAAAATTTTTGTAAAGGAAAAAGTTGCTTCGGATGACCCGAGGAACCCGCCACTTTCGAATTGCGAGACATTTTTGGGACACACTGTATATCGCGAAATCCTCGCGATTTACAAACGAAAGCATACGACCGTTAGACATCTGATCGAGCAGGTAACAGTGCGACTAAGCAGAAAATGGGCACTGGCAAGATGAGTCGTAAGACAAAGGGTTAAGAGGTCGGCCGAGTGAGAAAAGAAACATTTCGGTTAATGAACGCGATAATTGTGCAAACGCAGACTGGCCGAATACTGGAAGCTAGATGCTTGGGAGGATGATGCACGTAGACGCAAGCGTTTCGTGCACAATCCACTAGGCTCGAGCCATCCCGAAGCTACGCTGAAAGCGGCCCTCGAGCACGGTGCACCCGAGGATGCGATCCTCCAAGCGCGTGAAGAGTTTCACGCGCATCTCGCAGCCTCGCGTGCACATCAGCAGCAATTGCAGTCGGCGGATCTCATGGACGACAGCGAGCTGTTGTCGGACGACAGGGACCTCGACAACGACTTGACAGGTGCGCCTCAATTTCTTTCTTCTTCGCTCGTTTCGTTTCGTTTCGTTTCGAGTTTCGTTACCGAACGCGAACTTGCCGGCATGCAGTATATCGTTCGAACCCAAATACACTTAACGCTACAACGAGGTCGTGTTCTGTCAGGCCCGGTGAACATCAGCACGAAAGGAAAATTGATCGCGCCAGGTATCGTGGCTCCCGGAATTATCTCCGTCACGTCCACGGAACTTTACTTCGAGGTAGACGAGGACGACCCCGAGTTCAAGAAGATCGACGCCGAGGTGAGTCACAGACACATCACGATCAACGTTTTAATCCGTGTCGGGCGTGCTGGTGACACTCGCGCAGCTTTTTACTCGTCTTCGCGAATTTCGCAGAAATGAGTAAAGGTTAAAAGAATTAGCTGAAAGATTAGCAGACTGCGAAATAAAAACGTTCTGCTTCGATTGCAACGAACCGAAGTAAAATAAAAGTTTGTTTGCTTCTTTGACTTCTTAGCTGTGGACGACGCGTATACAAGTCACAAGGAAATGGCTATTTAACATTGTAGAACAAGAATATTTCTCCTACGATTTAGGTTGAAATGCTTGTGAAACGTGTTGATAGATTTCGCACATTTTAGAATCATTCTAGAACAACTTGCAACAACGAGGAAAGTGCAGCCAGTGTGATCGATAAAACGCGTACAGAATTGGTCTCAAAAATAGATCGACGCGGCTAAGTGGTTAACAGGTGTAATAGATTGATTAATAATACAGTAATGTCACCCTAACTGACGCTCAGATTGCGCTCAAAAATTCACAATTTGGGAAGTGGAGATACGATTATTTCGAGCCTCGCGGCTCGTTCTGTAATTGTCGACAATTCGTATCTATAAAAACGTACCGCAAGCCTCGAATAATCGTATCTCCTCTTGTCCTCGTCTCCCCCAAATTGTCCATTTTCCTGCACAATCCGAGCGTCAATAAGAGAGACACTTAATGTATATATTTCATGTACTCAATTGTTTTAGAAACGCGTAAAAAATCTGCAGTCTAGTTGAACGTGTTTATATTCTGCTGTCAGAAAAATGTCAATTTCTTAATAATCGACCGCATTCTGACATAAATATATATAATAATATATATTATAATAATAATAATATAATATTATTATAATATAATTATATAATATTATTTTATATATAATAATAAATAATATATATAATATATATTATTATTATATATAATATAATAATATATATAATAATTCTCGCATAAATATACGTTGTTATAATTGTAAGTACAATTCCAAGTATCGACGATCACATTATTTAACTCGGTGACATCAGCACGCCCGACGTAAACTTAGTTAAACAACGAAGTCCAAGAGCACTGTTTCAGAAAGTACGATCTGCAAGTTCGATAAACGTCCCGTGTTAGAACTCTCGAATTCGCGAACATTGTACGCTCAAGACCGGCGCGTGACTTTTTCTGACGTTGCGAAAGAGAATTTAGAATTCGAGCCGGCCTTTTACGTGGCCGGCTGCATTTCCTTGCTCGCATTTATCACGCGTCATACGCAATCTTAATAATTAATCACTGTGCCAGTTCCTCCGCGTTTAGATACCGTCTATTACATGCATTTGGAGCAACTTGTTGCGTTCGCGGAGCTATCTCTTTGAAATATGGTGGTTCTGCAGATAATGTCAACCCAGCGCTGAAATACAGGATCGCGCGTAAACAAATTGCCAGTGGCGAGAAGCCGTTTCTTGCGGGCTCTTCTTGCGAAAGGAGGCTCGAGGGGAGGCCATAAACAGTTCGAATAAAAATTGTGAACTTTGCAATCGTTCTCACGCGTGATCGCGCGACGAGGAAAGAGATCGGTTGCGCCACCAACTTCGTAAACATCTTTTGCCTCTTGGTTCACGAATGGCGTATAAATCCAAAATTATGGAAAATTAGTTAAAGTGCAGAAATAGTTGCTATTAACACTATTGCTATTAACATCACGCTGGTGCCATGCAGAAACTATCTGTTGTATGCCGGTGGTACCACTTTGGTGCCATTTTAAAAAACTGAAATAACATTTGAGCTATATTTCTTGCGTGTTAAAAGGCAGCAAGCTAACTATAGCATTGTGCTTGTTTAACTAAGAATTAAGTACGAAAATTCTTGGATGACATATCTTAATTTTAGGAATTTATATTACCGCCATCTTCGAAATTTTTTTTTAAATCTGAAATTTCCAAGCTATTATGCCGACGTCGAACAAAAGAATCATATCTAAGATCTGCGGACGGCATAGTGTTAACCGCGAGGAATTTCGTATTCATCGAAAGATATTTTTCCATTCTTCTGACTTTCATTCAAATGAAATATGATTCGCAGTCTAAGTTGCAGAACGGGCTTTATAAAACCACGGACAGTGTTCGTTTTCTATAAAAAAGAGAATTGCAGATTTCGCTAAGCACCGCAGATTTAGAAATATGTACAGAATGAGGGGTGGGGAGTAATTATATGCCACGACCACCCCAGCGAGAATCTACGCAACAAAAGAATCATATCTAAGATCTGCGGACGACATAGTGTTAAGTGTAGTTGTTTTATTTATCGATTGAAATTGCGTATATTTTCTTTCACGTTAACATAAGACGAAGACGTGTTTCACACGATGAATATGGCGACTATTGCATTATCTGGAATAGTTGCTTAAGTCCAAATTCTGGACTTATTTCACTATACCACGCGTAGAATTAGAGGACAGAAGAGCACAGTAGAATTAGAGTATAGTGTGTTAAGTGTAGTTGTTTTATTTATCAATTGAAATTGCGTATATTTTCTTTCACGTTAACATAAGACGAGGACGTGTTTCACACGATGAATATGGCGACTATTGCATTATCTGGAATAGTTGCTTAAGTCCAAATTCTGGACTTATTTCATAATTCCACGCGTAGAATTAGAGCACCTTTTATATTCGGGCAAAAGAGTCTCCAGCCTTTCCTCATTAAATAAATGCATTAAGTAAATTCTCGTTGCTAAAAAGAGCGACATGCTATATTCGCTGAGAATTCCTTCACTTCGTCACGCATGTTTCGAAGCACTGTGAAGCACTAGGAATGTATAAAACGACGAGGATTCCGGCAACGAATGCGTTTCCCTGATATTATCGTAAACAAATGAGACAACAGATGGACACATTCGACGAGACGCATTGAAATAGCAAAACCGAAAAACCATCGTTTCCATTGGAGGACAATCGAGACGGAAGGCTGTTAGTCGGTCACGACGAGGCGTACAAGCTCCGTCCGTTCAGCACGGAATTCGAATAAATGCGACTCATAAGCGAGAAGACGTGACGAAAGGTTCCACGACATTGACCCCGCCGGCACGGCTCTCCGAATTGGTTCGGACGTGTCCTTGTCTATCAGCGTCCATAATGTGGTCACGTTTCGCGAAGGTGGTCATCCTCGAGGAAAAAGGAAAGAGAGAGGGCCCGAGATAAGGGACGGGAACCGAGAGAGAAGGCCTGGGAGTACCAGAGGCCCGATTATCATATATCGGTCGTAGATCTCGCGTTTGTATAACTAGGGAATAAAACAAACAGGGAAGGGCCCCATGGGGTCGGCCGATCTTCAGGGTCGGCAATTATGAGCCCCCCGCGGGGCCCGGTATCCACCTAACCACTTTTCCGTCTCTCTTTGGCATCGCCTTCCATCGCCTTCGCCACGTACTAACCACACATCGGTGGCATAGGTGAACAGACAGCTCTCCTCAGGAATGCATTCGAACTACCATGCTTTCCCATCTAGTAACTATCGCACGTCTACCGCTGGCATCCTGTTTATGCGTCACCGGACGATTCAATACGGACAGATGGACCGATAATCGCGAATCCACCGCCGCGGATCCTGCGAAACCGATTCGTTAAAGACGAGAAAATTAAACGACGAATCTTACCGGCCCCCGGCCTCTTCTCCCTCTCTCTCCGTCCTCCATCGATACTCGTTAGCATTTTCGATGCCTCCGACAGAGACGTAGAGATATTAGGCTGGAAACTATGAAACGGGCGTTGAATAAAAATAAAAGCAGAGCGCAATTTTTCACATTATTTATTATATTCAGCCTATATATATATGAAAAAAAATGAAAAATGAAAATAATGCTCGATATTGGTTCCAAAAAATAAAAAATATATATATATATATATATATATATATATATATTAATTATGTAAATATATATATATATATATATATATATATATAATATCGCGCATTTTTTTNATATATAATATCGAGCATTTTTTTCATTAGCGGATCCATCTCCGAATGCGTGATTAATGTTTCTCGAAACTTGAGCTGCGCTATGATTCAATTTGAACTCGTACAAGAAAAGTAGATGTAAATTGCGTTTCGTTTCCATCTGGTTTCGGAGGAAAATAAAATAAAAATGGGAAACCAACATAAAAAAATGTTACGAAATGAGTGAGAAGAATACCTTTGAAATTTATAAATAAAGATATTCAGCGCACGTTACAATGTACCTCTCTCAGTCGTAGCTGAAACAAAAACGCCCGTTTCATGGTTCCCAACCTAATACCTTGATTATATTGAAACTTAATGAAAATTAATTGAATTTGAATTAATAATCTAGCTTGGCGCTAGACAGCCGAGCCAATAAGCGGAACTGGCCTACGCGCGCTCGTCGACATGGCCGCCGTGCGGCCGCCGAGCTCGCCTCTCATTGGCCAGTGTTTTTCCGTTGATAACTCGTGAACGGTGCCTCGGGGAAAATTTTTGTAAAGGAAAAAGTTGCTTCGAATGACCTCAGGAATCTCTAATTTCCCTGGAGTATCACACTTTTGGGACACCCTGCATATTACCTGTATTTTCTATCTTATTCTACACTATCGATTGAGACACGTGTTTCACGATCGCATAGGCAGCATGAATTTTGTCACCGAAGTGTTCACACGAATCCTATTAAATGTTCAAACATTCTCGAAACCGGCTCTGAACCATCGAAGCACAGCTCGTTGAACCGACCGTTCAAAAATGAAATTGCACAACATCGGATCTCTTCCTTCCAGTCCCAAAGTACAGTTGGTCCAGCAGAACGATACAGCGCCCAGAGCGAGAAGGAACCTTCCGAACGAACTTCCTTCAGCACGATAATCGGATCCAGAGAAAGGTCCAACGATTCCCAAGACGTTCACCCGATCCGAATCGTCCCCGGTCCGAAATTCTAGCTCGTAGAACTCGGCCGTGTCCACCTGTCGTCTCCGATTCATCTCGGGC